AGCAGGCGAACCTTCGGTTAGACGCCGGCTGAACCACTTTATTTCCACTTTATTACGTTAAAAATCTGCGATGCGTTCGCGTTTCGAACGAGCGACGGATTGAACGGTCCTTTCGGAACCGGTTCGACTTAACGAGCAAAAAAGTAGCTAGCTCGTGTTCGTTAATTCCACTTTTCCGCGATACATACTCCGGCTGCGCGGTCCTGCCGCGCGCTTCCCACCAGCATTTTTCCGCGCTAACACCGAGGAAGAAATTTTCTTTTTGCTTCTGTCTTCCTCTCGCTGTTTCCGTCGCTCTCTTTCGCCGGCGCAACCTGCAATTCGATTGATTCGTCGAGAAGGTAAAGAACGTTTTCAACAGGACTGACGTTTCGTTCGACGTTTTTCAACCGAGTATTTAGGATCGGTCGTAATATTTCTGACGTTGAGTTTCCGAGCGGTTGTCTCGTTTCTGAATGTATTCTAGACAGATCAGGGTGATCGGTGAAAGAAATTTGTTCTATTTTGTAACTCGATGTAGGAGGAATAAGTTTAAGATGAATCTTAACGAGCGAAACGAAATTCGAATTGAAGTTTGGTGTATGATATTTTAAATGATTTTTCTACCGTTCTATCTGATTCCTCGGCGGTTTAATCTTCGATATTAAACATTAAAGTATTGCACGATTGTGATAAATTAAAATTCGGTGCAAAAGTACCGAAGAGAGAGTTAAGAAAGAGAACGAAGAACGATTCGTTAAAACGCGTCTCCACTTCTTCTCAACCTCTAACCCGGGCAATTTCAGAAATTGTCAAGCTCTACTTAACGAGTCGTGTTATTCCCTCATTTCCTAACTCGAGCAATTTCCACCGAACGTGAAGAAACAAAGATACAAGAAATTCCCGTGCTCTCCACGAGTATCACGAGCGTCCGTCGAAAGGCTCGAAGTTGTACGGAACACGGATCGGCTCGAAACAAATTAAGAAACGTTATGTATTCGCGAAGTTTCGTTAGGAATGGCGTGATGTTCGTCGAAAAGTTGGAGGAAGAAGCGTATGCTCACGGGGGAATATATTATATAACCAGCGTACCGAGGAGCCTTCTTTTCCCTCTGAATCCTTTCCTCTCCCCGATTCGCGATCGCATTACACGGATCTGGAACCTTTCCAACGGAGCAAGTTCGTGATTTTTAGACTGAAAATTGAGGCGAAAAGTGTATGCAAAGTGTGTCTGGATTTTTCTCAGATTCCGCCCGTCCGCTTTCAAATCCGCCGATACGATCTTCCGGTTATAAGCCTCGAGACAGACCCGATCTATCGTTTCACTTAGGCCACGCTGAATTAACGCGCCAAGCTTATTCATTCGTGGACAGAGCTACGAAAGCTCGTTTGTATCTACCCCCGCCTTTGTAGCTTTGCTAGAAACTCTAGATTAAAGGTGGAAAAGCGGGGATGGGAATGAAATCCGCGGCTGATCGAATAAAATTTCGACGAATTTTCCGATCGAACGAGAAACATTTCGACGGTTATGCGTGTAGATGCGTTCGAAAGCGTATAAGCTCGTTTAAAATAAACAATACCGATGGAATTCGCGCGAAGTAGAAGTTGACAAGTATATTTGAAATTTTAGTAACTCGCGGTGATAACGTTTCACGGTGGTATTTACAATTCGATAGCCGTAAATTATGCGTATACGTGTACGTGGAGAAAAACCTGTAGCGTTGATTTTTGCTGAATTAATTTACGTACGTTGCAAACGATAGTTTTCGAACCGGCAAAAATTAACGATGAAAATGTCCAGAAGCCACAGAAACGACCGATAATTTCGATATTACAACTGATCCAACTATCCTCGTGAGAAACCACCGATCACCCTCTGAATTTCCCGAAATCGTTCGTCGAATAACGCGCGACCTCGTTTCTGTCTGCGATTTTCTATTAATTTCGAAGCGACGCGTCGCGCGATCGCAGGCTACCCGAAAAACGGAGCATTTTCATGGAAAACGGGCTGGGATAAAATTTCAAACTACGCGTGCAGATTTATCGAGCGGACGCGAGTCGTCGCACCTTTTTCAGTTGGTCGAACGAAACGCAAAACTTGGATGCTCCTCCTTCTCTCTCTGTCTCTCTTATCGCTGTCTTCGTCGTAGGGTATATACGATATACTGCACGATATCGTGGAAATTCCAGTGAAATTGCGGATAGAGGACGCGAATGAGAAGCAGGCAGCGGGAAGAATTCTTGCGCTGCCGTTTTCCCTCTCTTCCGCTGGCCGTAGTTTTTGTTTCAACTCTTCCCCCCCGATTCACTTTTCAAGTGAACGGACCCGTGAATAATAAACCGTTTCAGCCTCGATACATCCTATCGGAAAAATTGGAAAATACCCGAGCACAAAGTATGTCCGCTAAATGTTCCCGTGTGTGTTTGTGTTTTTTTTCTTCTTTCTCTTCTCCTCTCTCTTTCACCCCTGCGTGAAAACTGCTCCCTGCGGTTTCGCCCCCTATGTTTACCGCACAATTTAGTAAACAGACCGAAGGACGTTTCCTAATCGTCTGGAATCGACGATATTTTTTGCGAACGTGTCACTTGTCACTGGGGATTTTGAAAGTTTCGTCGATTAAGGGGGTGTTCTGGTCTACAATGCAATTTTTTCGGGATTTTCTTTCGATGTGTGTACTTTGGCACACGTATTTATGAACATTTGAAATGTACAGATTACTTCTTCAAAGCAGAAATAATAAAAATTGCACGAGCTGCGTTTGAGTTAACAGAGCTAAGGAAAAGTTCCGTTACTCTGACACAGCAAAAGTATAATAGCATCTTGATTAGTACGAATGGGGCTATCGTCAGGATCCCGAATAAATTAGAAACCGTGATAATTCAAAAAATGGCAGCACTTTGAACTTTGAGTATTGATTTTTTCGCATTTGTTTTAGTCTAGCGTACTAGAAAACTACGAAAAAGTCAATATTTCTTTAATAACCGATGTTCTTGCTATAATGACACGTCCGCTGAAGATTCTCTCCAAATTTGAAGTGAATCGATCAGACAGAACTTGAGATATCGTACACACCAGTTCAAAAAATGAGATTTCGAGAGAAAGGCGTCTGAAATTTCGCAACGTACCTTCGAACGCATGTACTTTAACAAAATTAAAGAAAAGAAAATTAAGCAACACGTTCTAAAAATCGTCCACTCGATTGTCGTCGATTAACTCGAAATAGACGACAAGTGATAATTCAAGGAGAAAGAAACTGTTACCTGCGGAAAATTTCACGGGGAAATAGAAACGTTAGAGGTATCAGGTAGCGATCTAATTTAAGGGCGGGAAATGGAGCACGGAAAACCGTAAATATAGAGGGAAAACGTACGAGAGAGAGAGAGAGAGAGCAGGATCGCGTTAGTATTCTCGGCGAAGGCGTGTTTTATTACGTGAAATCGGGGCCGCGTGTCGGAGATTGCAATTTCGATGGCCCCGAAAAATCTGCACGCGTTTTCCCTTTTCCATAATCCATTTCGCGGAACCGTCCCGTCCACCGTGGCAGCCCCCGAGTTTTTGGCAAGATCGAGGCCACGGTGGAATTTAATGAACGTGACTGGATCTTATCGGCAACGGGCGGAAACGAAACTCCGTGAAACGGGGAGGAATCTCGTTGAAACGCTTGGCACACACTTCGACTACATAAACACGATCAATTTGGATGGAAAACATGATTCTTATTACTCCTATTCTCTCTTGTCTCCACGGTAGGACCGCTTGGATAAATTTACGTATTCTTGTTTCCCCGTTTTCGTAATGCACGCGCATCACCGTCCGGCCCGGCAGCTCTCGAGAAACGTCGTATTGTTCGTCGGCTGGCTGGAAAACGCATGTTGCGAATAATAATAACGAGGAAAATCGTTTGTTCGCCACCCGTCGTGATTTTCCATTGAAAATATTGCGCCGTTTGTGAAATTGAAATAGTGAATTGTTATCGGGTGAATTCCAAATTGTCCCCGTGTATTTCATTAGTTCCACTACTGTGTTTGCCGATCCACGACCTCTTTTATCCCGCGATCCCGCTCTATGGAAAACAATCAGGTTTTACTCACGTGTTTAACGGTATAATACACCTTTGTTATTGTTCATTTATTTCTGTTATTCGCGACGCTTTAGGCGAATATGTGCCAAGTGTACGTGTTGTAATTGACGTGTTGCGTGTGTAGTGGACGTTAACGCTAACGACGACGGGGAAAAAGTTTCGCTGATTGTTTTCCAACCCCTAATTTCTAGTTACAGTGCATTAGGCAGTGTTGTGTCGTGTTGAGTCGCTTGATTACAACCACTTTGTCAACGTTTCTTTCGTTACTCGGATGGATTCTCTAATTTGCGATAAGTAACCTGGGCAAATTCAACGCGACGTAAACTCGAGTCCTCAAAAACCTCGATTATCCTGCCAAAAATTACGAAGTAGATCGCTAAAAAAAAACTGGGTAAATCGATGGAAAAAATCGACAAGCAGAAGTAGGTCACGGAGGCGCAGGTAAACGACAAAGGAAAGAAGGGAGTCTAATCTCCATTCATATTAAAATTCGCCGATAACGATATTTGTTTTACCTAAAAAAGAAATTATGACATTATACTTTCCTTCGTCGTAAATCATTTCGACCGTTCATTAATCACGCGAAATCTCCTTTTCGAGGTAGCAAAGAAAAAAAAAAGAGAGAGAAACCTCCCAACGAAAACACGCTCTAAAAGAAATACTTAATCTCGATCCAAGTCACACGGCTCCTTTATCAAAAATCTCGAGAATTCTTCTCACAATTTCACGCTCCAAATCAACCATACCTGAAACCCTATACTTGCACATTAACCCAGCCATTTGCCAATATCCCGAATCAGCCAATCTCGACGTGGCAATAGGTCACGGTGCCGCCTGTAAATGGATCCAGGCGAGCTGACTGGAATATATCCTACAAGATTTTTCATCGTTACGGGGCCACGAATCGTAGAACTTACCGGGTGGTTGGATTTGTTGCAGAGGCGCCTCGAGGGACGTACCTGCTGATAGATGGGCGTAGGTTGGACCCGGGCAACCAGTTCGTGCCTGTGAAGGAGGGCTCCGAGTTGACGTTGGAGTGCGCCGCCGAGGGTGGTAACCCACCGCCTGATTTAGCATGGGGAATGACTCTGTCTCAGGCCACTTTGGACGGTCCGGAGCAACCGCCGGACAATTTGACCGTGTTGCCCTCGACGTCGAGCGGGCGCAGCGGAGCACACCTTAAAGTTCTCAGGAGACACCACAATGCCACCATTGCCTGTGTAGCACGTCACGTCACCCTCACCGTACCAATGAACGCGAGTATCCTGCTGGACGTTCAATGTGAGTAACATTCTCGGCCTTTCTTTCTTCCCTTTCGAAGGGAATTTTTTTGTTTTTTTTTTTGTTGAACGTTGTGAAAACTAAGGCAATGTCACGCGTTGACATTTAATTTTGTGGACGATGAAAGGGAGTTTTTGTTGAACATTGTGAAATTCAACGTTCTTACTGCTCTTTCACGCGTTTATTTAGCATGACGTAGATTTGGTATAACAAGTGTCGACTCGTGTTAATTATTTTTAATTTGTAAAACTAACACCGACGAGGAAACGCACTGAATCCATATGTGCGTCGGTTTCGGTGAAATTTATGCGAAATGTTGTCCCGGGAAAAATATTTGACACGAATGTGTTTTTTTTATCGGCAATCGTTCATATCGAAGGGGTGAAAACAGCTCTCAATTTTCGGGGTGGTGAACATATTTTTTGGAATATTCCGGGAATTAGAGGGGAGTAGGAAAACAGATTTTAAATTGTGCAGTTTTGAATGGGGGAATTTAATCGCATACACTTTTGATATTCGTATAAAATACGAATCATTGGAATTTTTCTGGGAACTTTTTCGATAAACGTTAATTGACTCGAAAATTGACTCGGTGGAATCGAGAAATGAAATTAATATTCAGCAGATTAATAATTGTCAAAAAATAAAATAAAATAAGGATTCGGAAATACTGGTGGAAAACGTAATTTCTTCAGAGTCACCTAGTCTATCCAAACACCATTCTGTCTTAAACAAAGTTCAGCCCTAGTTGCAGTTGTCTCACTAACACGGCCATATTCTCCTTCGGAGAATATTCCACTTGAAATTCCTGTCTGCCGGATTCGCGAATAGCACTCTATTTGTACCCATCGCGTTGTGAACGAGTTTCTCGTAAAATATCAAAGACAAATGGAGCGATTAAGGAGGGAAGCGTAAGATTTCACCTGAAGGACCTCTCAGCATCAGCGCAGTGTTAACTATGATGTCTCGTTTTAAACCGTCTTTACGTAGCGCAGAGAGTTATCGTCGCTGTCTCGTCTCGAACTCATCACCTTAGTCTGGTCTGAAACTATCGTATAATTTGAAGCATTTCACCGTAAGCTGTCTCGTCACTTGCTCGTCTCGTCTGGTCTTCGACCTTTCCACTTTTTCCCAGGGAACTCGGAAAATTCTCGCTGTCGATGACTTGCACATTCGGCATCGCAAAGCTCGTGCTCGCTTGAGCTTCAGCTGGGAAATCTTCTGGAGCTTTGTAAGACGATAGAACAGTCTTTTTGCGAACGATAAAAATAATTTTCTTCGTTTGGGATAATCTGGAGAGAAGAAGATTCAAACACGTTCTTGGTTGTTTTCATTTTGTTTTCAGTTTTTGGTAGGAGAGAAATTTATTACCGAGACGTTGTTTTGTTTGTCTCGATCAGATTTCGGTGTAGAATTGTATAATGTTACGTGCAGATTTTGGACTTTAGTTGCAAAGTTCTATACTGTAGTTCATACGCCTTGGTAACTTCGACTGAGTTGTTGGATGCTGGTTCAAGTGAAGCATCAGAGTCAAGTTTAACTGCTAATTCTACTTTAACGAAGTGGAGATGTTTTCTGCTTCGCGAAGATTGCAAATGTCGCTGCTAATGGATGTTTCATGTGGAGGTGGTGATCTGTGAAGTTAATGGTGAGAATGTCAGACGATGTCATGGCTGATTCAGGGTTAGAGGGTTTGCGTTAACGATTTTTGCATTCATTTGTAATTAATTCACAAGTACGATGTTTGTCTTGAAATATTTGCTAATCAAATTTTCAAAGTGTCTTCTGCAAAATTTGTCTGTTTAATCTATCAGAAACTACATTGATCAATTTTACGTACGTATATCAAGAAGGGATTGAAACTTGTATTCGCCAGTACGCAGAATCCTAAATTTGAATATCCAAGTAATTTGTATCCCGCTGGTGGGACCGTAGAGAAGTTGTATCCCGCTTCTGCGACTGCAACAGCTTGGCAGGATAATACGGCTTTAGCAAACTAAACAATTAGAATTTATTAATAATACACCGTCCCCTGTCCTCTCCAACTAACCACGAGAAACTGTTTGCTGTACTCTGGTTTCCAAGTCGAGCATCTTAAGAACTGAACGTGCTAATTAATAAATATCTAGGAAAAACCAGATTTGAAAAGTATATTGAGTGTCGTTGATTAGTATCAACCGAAACGCACCCTTAATCTGAACGAAAATCTTCGTAATTAGGTCACCAGCGCAATTCCATGCTTTCGTTATCGCGGTGTGTTCCCCGAAGTCTCGTCTCGAACGAAACGATTGCTATTTATCTCTGATACCCCTACTCTTCGTCAAAATACATCGTCGTTATGAAGGGTCTGGTGAAAGCAAACGAGAGGACGAGAGATAGAGAGACAGAGGGAGGAAGAAGGAAGGAGAAGAGATAGAGAGAGAATGAGAGGAGAACAGATAAAGAGAGAGGGACCAAATGAAAGGGGGAGAGACAGAAGAAGGGGCAAAATGGGAGATGGAGAGACAGAAGGAGGAGGAGAGATGAAAAGCGAGGGAGAGACAGGAGGGGAATAGATGAAAAGCGAGGGAGAGATAGAAAGTGAAAGAGTGATAAAGAGAGAAAGAGAGGAGATAGGAGTAAGAGAGAGAGACCAAATGAAAGAGGGAGAGACAGAAGGAGTGGCAACATGAGAGAGGGACAGACAGAAGGAGGAGGAAAAATGAAAAGCGAGGGAGAGACAGGAGGAGAAGAGTGAAAAACGAGGGAGAGACGGAAAGTGAAAGCTTGATAAAGAGAGAAAGAGAGAAGAAAAGAGTACGAGAGGTAGACAAAATTAATGAGGGAGGGACAGAAGGAGGGGCAAAAAGAGAGAGGGAGAGACAGGAAGAGGAGGAGAGACAAAAAGCGAGGGAGAGACAGGAGGAGAAGAGATGAAAAGCGAGGGAGAGACAGAAGAAGTAAGAGCGATAAAGAAAGAGAGGACAAGAGGTAAAGAGAGAAAAACAAAAGGACAGAAAGAGAAGAGATAAAGAGAGCGAGGGAGGGGAGAGCTGAGGAAAAGTTACGAGCGTATTATTTAGTTGATGCCGCGTTGAAATTGCCGGTGGCCACGGTCGAGATCTAATTTCCGTAGACTTCCCAGCCAGCACAATTCCCGTTGAAATATTAGGTAGAAGAAATCGCGATACGGGGCCTCTGGGCGGGCGAAAAAAGCGACGGGCAGTCGCGGGGCGCGTTTTAAAAATGGGCTTAATTCAAGTCGAGCGGCCAGGAAGTGTTATAATTCCACGGATCGTTTTTCCCCTCCGGTGTCGAGTCTGGGGATGATGGGAAGAGGTTGGTGGGCGGACAACGACGAACCGGCTAGCCGGATTTCCTCGATATTAGAACTAGAACGAACAGTCGCGTTGTCGGGATACGAGCATTGTTGCCTGAACGACGATGGAGTGGCATGTGCGAGACGGTCTGCTCCAAATTGAAACATTAATTTAATTAAGTCGTCACTGTTTGTTCATTAGATGGTTGACGCGTTGTTGACGTGGCGGTTGTTGTTTCTGTTATTCTGCTGCGAAGATTTTTCGAAAAATTTCCTGCCGAATATGCCGCCTGATGTATAATATCTACGTACACCGCTTTATGCGTATTTGCCTTTTTTGAACGTATCGTAAATTCTTCGATTGAATTGTGTCTTTTATAATAGGAATTATTAAACGTATTAAACGAGTGAAATACGCCAGATGGAACAGTTGCGAGGAGCAGAAGGTTCGTTTTTTCCAACTTCAGGATTGTATTATAATAATTTTAACGACGAACAAATTTCGTGGAAAGAAAGGTACAAGGAAGTACCTTTTCCCTTTGTTAATCGAGGTCTTTTTAACCATATTATTTAGCTACATAATTGTTCAAAGCGTTGCTATTAGTATAACAATGTCAAACTCTTTATCATAATTTAATACTGGATTAACCTTAACAATTTTCGAAGCCAGGAAGATTCTTTTCATTTCATTAAAAAGAAGCTCAAAGTGCAATATTAAAACCTTCAGTTTTCATCATTTTCTATATCAACTTTCCTTCGAATAATTAATCCCATTTTAATCGCAGACTACAAATTAAATTTAACTACCCACTTCATTATTACCAATAGAAACAGAATTTCAACCTCCTACTCTACTTCGAGTTCCGCGATAACGAAAGGGTTAAAACCGATCGTAAATTAAACAAACTCAACCCTGGAGGAGGGGATGGAGAAAGTATCCAGAAACATATAGCAAAGTAGACGAATGGTTGCAACTAGGAAGACGCTAAAGTGGAAGAAGCGGAAGTAAGAACAAGGGGCTGGAAGAATCCTAAGAATTTCCAATGGCCTACGTGCGCGCGCGTTATTTTTCAGATTATTAATTCCCCTGCAATACACTCGAAATTTTCCAACGGGGCTGGGAATTCGTCGGGGCTCGTGGCCCCGGCCGTTTATTGTTCGAGTAAATTTTCCAGAGGCCCTCGAACCACTCTTCCTCCCCCGCCCCGGACTAGACTCGGAGGGTGGTTACCGTTTATTGCGATCAAATTAGAGTCGTTGATGCAACCGTGGAGGAAACTAGTTTCTTCCAGGCGTCTCGTAAAATCTCCCGCAGCAGAAAAGAGATTTCGCGTCCCTATCTCGCCCTGAGGAATGAACCAACGAGAGATAACAAAGCCCGGCAAGAAGAGAACAACGTTAACCGCGCGTGGTAACGTCTAACGTGTACGCTTTATTTTCTCTTGGTCAGCTTCTTGTTTAACTTCCTTCGCCGGGGAAAGCAACGCAACAGAATGGAGGAAACACAGCGGCTCCTAGTTCTCGAAAAGTGATTGTCCCTTCTCCTTCTGATGAACCGACTTGTTGTCCGATGGAAAATCACGAGGATCGCCGCGGAAGAATTTCATTTCGTGCGCTCGTCATCGTTGGAATTTTTTATGCACCATAGAGATTTCGCGGAGTTGTCGGATTGAACGATTTCGCCGTAATATTAAGTTTGCAG